CTCCCTTGTATCTCAAAAATATTTCACATGTCTCAAACATTATAAAAAATTTGTTGAGCATTTCTAAATTGACTGCAGATAATAATGTCATTGTTCAATTCGATTCTAATTTTCAAGTTGTGAGGGATCAGATCACCCACAAGGTTTTGCTGCAAGGGAGGCTTAAAATGGACTTCATCCGATGGTTCCATCACTGCCAATAATTCCAGTGTGTCGCCTTCAAGTCCTTTTACTAATTTCATTTACAAGTCTATCGCTTTCACTTCTAGAGACTCCACCGTTAGATTTTATTAAAAATTTAAATATCAAGAACTTGAAAACCTAACTAATTTATTGCAAGGATCATCGAGTCAAATCACTAAGAGAATTATTAAATGCGGAATATACTAATTCATCGGTAATGATTTTTTATTATTGGATCTTGATTCCGGATCTTAAATCTTGAACATCAACTGCAATCTCTTCATGTTTGATTTCTTGATCTTTATAGGTGTTTGATCAACATTCTTACAAAAATTCATTTTTTTCAAAACTCATTTTCGATCACACATTCTTCAATAAAATAATATTACACGCAAATTCAAAAAAAAAATCTTATTTTTTAACCACATATTTTCCATCAAATCACGATGTAAAATATATTCTCTCCCCAATAATGTGCATTAAACAGGGTCTTCATCTTTAATATTGGCTCGCTTCCTTCTTCTTGATTGTTAATGATAATCACACATGAATTGGAGATCATAATCCTATTTATATTTTCATATGTATTTGGCCAATCGTTAAATACAATCCTAATGAATTTGGGCTCTACACATATTTAGCTATTTAAATGTCCAAAGCCCAATAACTTAAATTTCTTATTAGATCACTTTAAATGGGCTTAATTTTAAGATAACATTTAGGGAATATTAGGTACAGTACCCTAAAAAAATTAAGGGCGTGTTCGGTAGAGATCAAAATCGGATTAAAATTGAAAAACTTACCGTTATTGTTGAATTTTATTAGACGAATGAGACCAACTAACGACTATATTTTCAATTTTAATTGGATTTTAAGCACAACCAAACATCCCCTAAATATTTGATTAATACCTTANATTTAGATGCTTCAAAACTCAAAATACCGAATTCTTATTAGATCACTTTAAATGAGCTTAATTTTAAGATAACATTTAGGAAATGTTAGGTACAGTACCCTAAAAAAATTAAGGACATGTTCGGTAGAGATTAAAATCGGATTAAAATTGAGAAACTAACCTTTATTGTCGAATTTTATTAGACGAATGGGACCAAATAACGACTATATTTTCAATTTTAAGCACGACCAAACACGCCATAAATATTTGATTAATACCTTAAAACTAATTAAAACTATTATTACCATACTAGTTACGTTCAAAACCTCAACTCCCACAAAAAAAAAACCCCAAATCTGAAGTGCCCTTTGAATCAGAAAACTCTGGAGGGCATAGCTATTTCTCCCTTTGGTAAATAGACTATCTGTTACGTGCCAGAGTTTGTGACC